ACGTGTGTGTGTATGTTTGTATGTATGTAGATTTATTGACTTCTATTAGGCATCTCAAAACTATCAAAACTTTCATGTGACTCCTTGCTGATCTTTTTGTTATTTTTCATATATCAATACTATAGGAGACCACGTAATGATTGAATACGTCGAAGCTGTAACCAAAGTACAAGCAGACATTACACATATCCTTTATCCCAATCAAATCAAGTTCTTGAAGAAGAAAGGTCTATGGTAAGTGTTTTTACATGTACACCTTTGGATTGGTTTGTCGGATAGTTTCAGATGCCATTTGTCGAGAATCGAATTGGGGCTGGTGAATTGCACGAGCCACTGGGCAGCCCTGTTGTAGATCCCCCTGTGTTGCTATAGTACTCTCGCCGCCTGTGCACGAAAAGGGTCGTAGACTGAATGATTTGACCCTATATAGTGGTAGCGGTCGTATTTTATATTTTACCTACTCTATCATGCGCATTTGTGCTATTTTTTTTCCAACCAGTCAAGGCGTATACGTTTTCAGTACCTTTGTAGACAGAAAATCTCAATAGCACTTAATAGTACTGTACTTTTAGTGGCCTCGTGGTATTAGATATAAACTTAAAAAACTCAATGTGTGTGAATATGTTTGACCGCGTATGCCGTATTGAATATATGCTAATAGTTCACTGCAATATAACGGGTCAGGCCCGCAGAATTCCCGTCCAAGTCAGAGGCACAGGCAGAGGCCGATGCCGAGTCACAGCCACCGCCTCGAACGAAAGAAGTGGTAGCGCCCAACAGTGACAGTGAAGCCGAAGACATGAGCGATGTATTTGTCAACCGCAACAGGCGCGTGCAGGTCGAGTCAGATGTCAGTGAAAGTGAGGACGAGAGTGAGTGAAGGGCTCTGCGGTGAGGATTGTGTGGTGTTGCATCCAGGGTTATGTTCGTCACCAGTAGTTGGGTAATCAGAGATCGGCATGTTGTTATTTGATATGCGATATACGCACCGCCTGTACGTAAAATGTGAAACACATCGCTGTCGCTGCATGGATGTGACCGCGGCAGAGTTGTGAGGGCTGGTGCACTGATATGCCAGTGGGCTTGCAGTATACTTTGGCCCGAAATGAGTCCATGTGAGTTATAACCTCGCAAGCGCTCGTGGGTGTAAATATCTGTTTCGAAAGACATCTGCAGACATCGCATTCGGTTTCAAAGTGTGCCGTGGGGGCGAACCTAACATGTGTATTCAGTCTGTAAGAAAGCGGGGTACTTGCACCGAAGTGGGATCGAGTCGTAACGAATGGTTGTGTACAGCATGGGGAACGTGAGGTGGAGAAGACAAGATTTTCGCGCACGTGTGGGTTGATATCAGTACACTCTATTAACTGTCTTGTAGCTATCTCAAGGGTTGCAACCACTGATGGAAGTCAACGAGTACGTCCTACCCTGGAACACCAATGCAGCACAGGCTCATCGATGTGTGTCAGACTTGAATTACCACAGATCACAGTGTTGGTAACGGGCGTGATAGGATGCGAGAGCCCTACTTGGGCTATACATGCGAGAATGGAGGTCACGAATAGCGCGGAGAGCGTTGCACTGCTGTGCCGATATGTTGACGAGCGTAGGTAGGTGGTTTTGTAGGCAACACTGAGTGGCCGCGGCGACTGTTTGCTACAAGAAAGACTCTATGCGGTATTCCTCGATGTAACTTTGTAAACTGGAGCCACCTATTTGACCAGTTTAGAAACCGAATCTCACAAACGTGCAGCATGCGTTTGCAGAATAATAGGATTGCTTCCCTTTTGTTTTATATGCGGAAGGAACAGGCGAGAAGTGAAGGCCGTGTGTGACTGGGTTGCGATTCGTCACAGAATTAGTTGAAGTGGTTACTAGAAAGAAACGCGAGAGGCCGGGAGGAGGATTTAGATCTGCTGCACTTCCAGTGTCCGCCGACTTCACATTCAATGATAGAGCGGATAGTAATCAGCATGGTGTGCTCTCATTTAAATAATAAATTTCAAACAATAAAATTGCACAACGCTGGGAGTTGATAGTCTAGCGATGCGAGTGAAATGAAGTGATTTGGATTGACTACCGTTCGGACGGGTGTGAGCTGCCTTGGAATGCGTGCGGAGTACATGCTCCTGTGCTGTGTAGGAGGGAAGGCTATCTGTATAATAGTCGTACACGCATCAGTACATGCAATTTAGGATTTTGAGAGAAATGGTCTATGTGTACAGGGTAGTGTAAGAAAGGCTGGCAACTGAAAAGCAGTGTGGTCGAATATGTGCGAGATTTGCGCAGTCATCTCGGAAGGTGACGCTTAACTGATTGGCATCTATCAGTAGAACAAGAATCCAACTTCGTTTGTACATGTAGTAAGGAACTGACACTGAATCGTGTTCTGTTATCGGAAATTGCTGAAGTTCGATGGTAAAGGAGTATGGATGCGTCCACTTTGAATAAACAGTCTAAAGAGTCACATGCGTGTAGTCAAATATATCATATGCCGCATTCAAGTAAACCCGTGCTACCTATGTATTCCCGGGCAGGTGAACAACATAAGTACGTACAACTTGAGATGACAGGACAATGCTTTTCAGGTGCAGGCAACTGTTGGTGATGAAACTATAAGCGAATTCGAATCAATGTAGAGAAGCCAGCAAGCAAGATATAGCATATATCAGCAATGCACATCTCCTTTATTTGAGTGACTACTATTTGATGAGCTCGGCAGTGGTGATTAGTGCGATCCCTTCTTCGCCATAACATTCTCGACTGTAACAATACATGTAGCGGCCACAGCTCCGATCATCACCCCCGGAAGCATCTTCAAAGCATACGTAAATAGAGACAGAAAAGTTAAGAACCCATCGCCAGGTTGTACATAATTATGATTATGAATATGATTATGACTAATAATAATTAGAATTACAAATATAAATATTATTATCATGATATATATATATATATGTATATGTATATACATTTATATGTATCTATATTTATCTATATATATATGTTGGTATATAAACATAAATATATATGAAATACATAATTACACATATGTGTATATGATATATATAGAAATATATTTATACACATACATACATGCATGCATACATACAAACATATACATATATATAAATATATATATACGGATATATATACATTTATATTTATATATAGGTATATGTACTGGTATATAAATATATATATGAAATACATAATTACACATTTGATGTATATGATATGTATATATAGAAATATATATATATATATATACGGATATATGTACATTTATATATATATATGTAATATTTATATATATATATATATATATATTAGTTTGGTGTCTTGTTGTTTCTGTGCGTA